AAAAAAAAAAAACAAAACAAAACAAAACAAAAATACAAAAATATATAGCTTTAAGAGGGTTAGGCCTACCCTAAAATTAAGGAACGCTCGACCTCGACACGTGATATCGAAATGGGCGAAATCGCCTCTTGATATCACTAACTCTCCTGACTCCTGCATAAAAATATCACAAATCTGCCCCGAGGAAGATTCGTCACTATCCACAGACCGCGCAGGCTCTAAGAGCTCAGCTGCCTCCGAGTCGGTACGTTTCGTTCTACGCCGCGTACGATGATGATGGGTGCGTCTCGATATGCGCAATTCTAGTGCATTTAAAACTTTCTGAGAAGATGGCGTCGATCATTGGATGCACTATACCCAGCAAACAATGGTATGTTCAAGCAACGATCGATATGTGCTCATTGAATGTTTCAGGTTCGGTTAGCACAGAGCGCTGAAGAAATGCTTTTATAACGTTCTACGCCAAACACTTCAACGTTGTGAGCAAGCATTGGACGAGCGTTAAGAAAAACGTTGAGACGAATCATATGAATGCACATGCCCGTCTTTCAGGTTGCTCGAGCCGTTTTTTTAACTGCGTGGATTCCTAGCTAAATGTGGTATGTTGGAGAAGTATATGAATGAAATACCAATCAATCGAGCACAGCTACCCAAGTAACATATGAACGTTCTCAAAAACGTTCAAAGATGTTTCAGGATGTGAAATGTTCTCGAATGAGCAGCTTTTGGGCGCTCAGTTAAGGTGCCGTTTCATCTCCTATTCTTCCTGGCGTTTCTGTAGGACATTAATTGCACCTTAAACAGACGTTTTACGCACATCTGAGGTAATGGTCCGGCAGCAGGCCTTTCATCTGGCGGAGGCTCGAACAAAGGTTTGCACAACCGAAGCGAGATCACGCCAAAGTAGTCGCTGTGAATCAATATCTGATACAGTTCATCAACACTTTCCACATGGTAAATTTTTTTTTTTTCCCCAGACGCCACAGTGGAAGCCATATGAATTATTCAATAAATCGGTCTAAAGAGGTAACTCAGTCCAAGGAGTCTCCAGGAAACTCTGGTCCGGAGAATGGTTCAACTTGGAGTTGGAGATGGTGGAGGTAATTTCCATGACTTTTCACAATGATACGATACGTTTTATGATGCAGACTACATTTGGAAGTCTCATGCCATACTCCGCTGATAAAATGACCAAACCTGACGATCTCGAAGCCGTTGGCAACGAGAAGTCGTAGCGCGAAATATTCCCAAAAACGGGACCGATGTACTTGCTTTTATTCTGCGAAACGGTCCCGTTTCTTCGAGTCGCTCTGCGAAAAGGTTTTTGTTTACGAGGTCATTTTCTGTTACACACCCCCAACCTTTAGATACCACAAGCTTTGCATTCTTCCCTATTGTTCCACTTAAGACCAATCAGGCCTGCAGTGTGAGGGCTAATATATTCCGTCATCGTTCTCTTTCTCTGATAAAATCAAGCTGTTCTATAGAGGAAATTCATGGTCAATGGCTATGTACAGTAACTCAATTGTGATGTGAATGTTTCTTCTGAAAAATAATTTTTATCTCTCCCATGTCTATGATGTGAAAGAATATTGACTCAGACACAGTTGATGAAACTTGTTCTGTATTCTTGTTCTTTAGCTACACAAAATGAGATGAAATGACAGTTCAATTGTTCTCTCCTCCCCACAACCCTTGAACACAATGACTCAACAGAGTGCAGATCACATAATTACCATTGAACAGATCACTTAAGAAGCATAACAGATGAATGTTGCTAAACACAGGCTATCACAAGTCACTGCAGAAGGGGGACATCATGGTCTCGGTGCTGAGATTCCATTGGGCCAACATTGGAAGGGATCGCACAATATTCCATCTCCTCTCCTTCTTCTTCACATCGGCAGCAGAAGTTGCAGCCATCCTTAATGATATTGACACATTTTTACCATTAGACCATTGGCAGGGAATATAGGCATGGAAACAAATGAGAACAGAGACTCACAGCTTGTAAAGCACCAAAACGCTTCCACAAATTGTAATTGGGAATCTGTTGTGCACCCCGGGCACCTCTCACAGAACGCATGTAGGCCACACCAACAATGAAATAGACTAGAAATCCTGTTGAGAGCCTATTTAAATAATAGAAAAAAAAGTTAAGGACTTCTAAACTCACAATGCAGGCAAACCCTACCAGAGAAAAAACTTTGGAACAAGTATCCACCAGTAAAACCATTGTTTCTTATAATAATAAAAAAAAGCACCAAACAAGACAGGTCATCAATGAGGTCTTTTTACCAATTACCAGAACTGCAAAAAAGTGGCACTTTTCACCACAATAAAAGCATGCTGAAAAGGTGAAAGATAGAATCAGACTAAAAATACTCTCAATCTTGTACAAAGTTGGACAAGTAATGCAGTGTCAATGACACTGAAAATAAATTATAGGGTGGGCCAAAAAAATAAGACAGTTTCAACGGTACACTATACTCCATTCCAGTAGCGTGCCCAGGAAATCTAAAAGGGGGGGGGTTAACATATGAAAAAACTAATAACCCACCCCATATCTGTGTCCAAATAAACAAATTTTTGAGAATCGAACCTGTAAAATTGACCTCAAGGGGGGGGGTTATGACCCCCAAAACCCTCCCTTGGGCACACCACTGCTGCACTCACAGTATATACAGGGTGTCCCAAAGGGTATGGAAACATTTAAAAAAATTAATATCCCTCTAAATTATGCCTCAAATAAAATGATGAAAACAGTAAAATGAAGTGCAACTTGAACATTTTTCAACCTGCTATTGCAATTCCACATGGGCACCATTTATGATTCTGTAGATGTCTAAGTGATGTTCAAGCTCTTACCACACCTTTTGCAGAGTATTAGGCATAACTATCAGGTTAGCTCAGACAATTCTGTTCTTTGGATCTTGATTGATTGTCTACTTTTCTCCAGTAAGCGATGTCCTTGACATAGCCCACAAGAAAAAGTCCTCTAGGGTTAGTTCAGGTGATCTTGGTGGCCATGGAATGAACCTGCTTTGTCCAATCCACAGATCTGTTTTCTCTTCCATGCCTTAGCTTGCTAAAATGTGGAGTTGCAACGTCTTAGAAAATTAGACTTTTATTGTGCCCGAAGCCATCCCTCTTGGATTTTTCCTCAGAGGTTCCTCAAGTATAAAATTTTCTTAGATCTGGTGTTGGACACACAAACCTCATTTCAAAATTAGAATAAATATGTATATATATTTGAACAACTATTGAAAATATATACTAATCAGGGTGAGGATGCCTAACCCGTGTATACTTCAGACTTGAGTTTTTGCAACTTTCATCTGATTCCAGTTGTGAAGTACGAACTCCGTAAAAAAAAAAATAATAATAAAAAAATACGTGGCTATGATAGCCCACGTACGAGGGTCACTCAATAAGTTATCTACCTGAATAAGAAAGAAACATCCGAGGGGTAATCCACAGATCTGTTTTTTTTTTTTTTTTTTTTTTTTTTCCCATGTCTTAGCTTGATAAAATGTGGAGTTGCAACATCTTAGAAAATTAGACTTTTACTGTGCCTGAACCCATCCCTCTTGGATTTTTTTTTATTGTGGGGCTATGTCAAGGGCATTGTCAACTTTTCTTAAGTAAGCAATCTCTAATATCTGAAGAACAGATATGTTGCAGCTATCCAGACAAATACATGACACTCTGCATAAGTTGTGGTAAGAGCTTGAACATTGTTTAGACATCTACAGAGCCACAAATAGTGCCCATTTGGAACTGCAATAACATGTTGAAAAATGTTTGTGTTGCACTTCATTTTACTGTTTTCATCATCTTATTTGAGGCATAATTTAGTGAGATATTAATTTTTGAAATGTTTCCATACCTTTCAGGACACCGTTATTTTAATGTGGTTTGCAGCATTTGAAAGAGGAATGAAAAAGCTTTACATGGTGTATTTACATTACAAATATATTCAACAGTTTCATATATTCAGGAGCTCATATAAATACCAAGCAAAAATTATGTTGCTGCAGGACAGGACAGGGATGGACAGGTGGCAGCCGTCATGACTTAAGGTCACATGCCATCCCCCCCGAGAACGTGGCAACACAGTTTTTTTTTGCTGATCACGAGCTCTCAAATTTCTGAAATGGTTGAAGATATTTGAAAGGCAAACAAGTCAGTTAAAGATGATTCATTCCTCTTTCAAATACCACAAACACATTAAAATATGTCCAGTGTATTGTAAATGTAGTGTATTGCTAAAAACGGTCTTTTTTTTTTGGCCCACCCTGTAAATACAAAAGAAAGGACTTACAGGAGAAGAAAGATGCTAGTGCCAGAGAGACCTGCTTTCTGTGGAGTCACACTGGACGGACAACCACGATAACGAACTTCAAATGAGTAGAAGCAAGCAGGGTCCTTCAGTGTGTGCTCCCCCATATACTTCCACTTCAACTGACATATCCATTCAATTCAGGTGAATCACTTCACTCAGTGCTCCAAGGAAATTTGATGAAAATATACTTACAAATTCTAGTGCATCTGGATCACACAAGATCATGATCTGGGTTCTGCTCTGGGTCCCATTGCAAACGCCACTATCATACATGGCACCCCCACCATAAGACAGCATCAACCAATCATCTTTTCAATAAATAATAAATGCAAAAACCCCATGATTGCAGATCCCATGTTATCTGCCCATCCTATTATTCCTTGACTTATGCTTTGTCAAGAAAGGTATTCTGAATGAGGCATATAATGCTAGGGAATTTTTACTTAGTTTTTAATGTCAGCATACCTTCTTTCAACTGAAAAGGGGATTATACACAGACTTGACTGAAGTAAATAGACACCTACTGAGTCTCAACTGGGCCATTCCAGGCAATATGATGAATATATTATGGGAACTGTAGGATCAAGCACACAGCAAAGAAAGGAAGCAGTAAACCTACTAGTATCTCACCAGTGCTAAATGCAGTTCCAGCACAGACCAATCCTTGAGTATGTATTTCCTTCTGTCAAGTCTGAATACAGTATTTCTTTTACATTTCACTTTTGTTACTCTTCCTTTCAAACCAGGATATTATTAATTTGTTTCTATGACTTAAAGCTTGGGAAATAATGGGAGGACATGATTTCACCTCCGCCAATGACGGAAGTTACATTCACGCGTCCAATGGGGGTCTCCTGGTTGGAAACTATCTTCAGGGCAGAGACATTCTCCTTTGCCTCAAATGAAGAGCAGAAGTGCACCTTATATGTGGCATTTGAGGTTTTCACGTCCAATCTGTTGGTAAAAGAAAGCTTGTTGAAAGACACCTTGTAAGAAATAGTCATACTTACCATAACAGAGAGCAGAAAACTGACAAAATAGGAGATAAAGAGGAAATGCGCTGAAGGAGGGCAAGACTTCGATTCTGTTCCTCTACTGACAATCCAGGATCCAGGTGACATTGGCTCCATGAAGGGGGAACATGGAGGAAGTAGAACAGCCCAAATAACAGCCTTGCTCCAATTTTCATCTTTTTACTGTCATCTGGAGGGAAACAAATGGCTTCTCATCAATTTGGTCAAGCATATCTTTCAATGTTAGGAGAGCCTTTATAGAAATTTTTGCCAGGACTTTGCATTCATACATTTGCAGTCAGCCACATCAGGCACTTGGCAAGTTCCTGTGTTTCATACCTCATACACCTCTTTTTATTTTATCCTTAGCAATTCAAACCTGTGACACATGACATTCACCCTCATATCTTTCTGCAAATACAACAGCCTCACATTACAGAGATGTAGATGCAGACAAGATAAATAGCATTCACTGTACACAATTCTGTATGTTTTATCTGTTTATTGACATAAACGGGGTTTTTTAGCAACACTTTCCTAAATTTCCAGCATTAGAGCAATAGGGAAGCAGAACCAGATAGCAACTAAGGGGCCCTGTGATGTGAACTGATGCCCTGTTTCTTTGGTTTCACACTCCATTCTTGCACTAATTTAAAATTTTTCCATAGATGCTACTTGCTTCATGACAGAATTGCCATGGCAGCAGAATGGAAGGGGCATTTTTTACCTGGCCATCTAAGGCAAGGATTTTTATCTAATAAGTAGTAGTCAATGAGTTTCTCAACTGAATATGGAGAACAATTGTTGATACAAGGCAATATAGTTTGTAGGCCCCAGTTTATAAAACAGAAAGAGAAATATAATCATAAGCTTTATGGTGCTTTATGATGACATGATGAACTTGCACACAAACTGAAGCAGCCATTCCACACTTCTGGGAATAGAGATAATGAGAAGGGATGGATATGCATTTGATTTTCCCCTCACCTTAGTGGAGAAATACACACTCCCTTTAGTTCTTCAAATATATTGTTTGGAGTTGTGTACATGAATTCTGTAATACTATTTTGTAGAAGCAATGCCTTAATGCCAAAAGAAACTCACATGTGCCTTTGAGATTTTCCTGTTGCCCTTTTTTTCTTTCTTCTCCAGGTTTAACTCATTCTTTTGTTTTCATTGAACCCTAATCATCAATGTTCAAACTCAAAGGAGCACTAAAAAAATTGAAAAATACAAACCAAGAAAAAGGCAAAGTGTAAGGGGCCTGAAGGGGGGAGCTTGAACAAACCTTTGTTTGCACACAGCAAAGGACCTGAAAGTTGACTTGGCAGATGTGCAAACGGGTCATATCTAAGGTAAAAAATGCAACTAAAAAAGTATTGATTTCCTGCAAAAACCACATCAAATGATGAATAGGAGGTGGTTTTTCCACACTTTCATCTCTGAATCCACAGACAATGCTGTCAGAAGAGGAACAATGCCTTCATTGAGCTGCTGACCTAGAAAGATTGGCAGTGTCAAAATGAACTCCCAGAAGGTTGTGAAAAAAAATCCTACATAACAAGAAATGAGAAACCTCCTTCGCTAACAGGTGAGAAGAATGTGTTTCTACAATCTGCAAGGAAAAAAATATTTGTGAGACTTGTTAGATCACTCTGTAAATTCGAATGGATCCCCAACAAACTATTTATCCCTGAAAGAAATTGTGGAAAATAGTTGAATTCTGATGAAAAAGGCTTTATGGAAGCAGGGTGGAGGCACTTGCAAAATATGGGGATGTTGCACGCATGGGTCCACCTGAAAGAAAGTAAACAACTCTTGCATGCATTGTAGATGGATCTATCCCACCACCCTAAGTGAAAGTGATCTACATTGGAAAATAGCTTCACTCTCTCTCGCACATTTAGGGTGCAGTGAACATGTCTGAGTCACACTGAATCAATGGACACCTGCACTTTTGTATGAATCTGATACATATTCTTCTCTCAGATAGTGGGGAGAATACTGAAAGACCAGTGACCCTCATGGTTGATGGCCACGACGTCCACACCACTCCAGAGACAGCAGGTCTTGGAGATAATGGCATAATCCTCTATTCCCTGCCCCCTTTCCCACTCACAGCCACAGGATATGGGGGAGTTTTTTCCTCTATGAAAAGGAAATGGGACCAAGACAGAAAGAAATGTTTTAGAAAGGAATGGAAACAAAGAAGAAATCTTTCTCATAATGCTTGCAAAATGTGGACCAGCAAGCAAGAAAAACAAACTCAAGATTCAACCAGATTTGTCCCTACCTCCCTGACAGACATGGTATCTAGACATATGCATGATGAATTTCCAAATTAATTGATAAATGAAAGGGAAAAGAAAGGCAAAATGAAAATTAATTGGAGATCTGCTGAAACAGATCCTGTCACGATTCATCCCTTTTCATTGATATGGCAAGATATTGGTGCACAAATTCCAGATGAAGGATCTGTAGCTGGAGATCATGAAACCACTGTTGGTAAAGCCCTGTTACCAGGGAAAGGAATGAGAAAGTTAACAGATTTGCGCATGATATTTGAGGATGGTTTCATAGAAAACACATTAGATTAGCAGGTATTCACATTGATGCTCTGTGTCTGTCAAACAGACTGCTTGTAATGAATGCAGGCACAAGGCACAAGGCATACCCCAAGCCAACTTCAATGATTTCTACTTTTGGAGTATCAGGATATCAGGATTTCCATACTTCCATATATCTGTACTTCTGTATTCCTGTATTTCTGTATCTAAGAATTTCAATAATGCAAATTGTTTCAGTCTGTTTCAGTCACAAAGATCTTGATTTTATTTCACTACTCATTTGCTAATAGGCTCTGCTTCCCTAGGTTTATGGAAAGTTTTAATGAAAGCTGCAGTTATCCCTGATAGAACTTGGGCAACTTATCGCCAGGGACAATTCTCCGTTCAATGCCATCCTTAGTGATGACACCCAGTCGCACAATGCCTCCACTGGACCCATCACGAGATATTGCCAAAGCCACAGCTGCAAGAAAATGTGATACCTTTGTGAATCAAAGGAGGAAATAAATCTGAATTTCCACATATGCCAAACTATAAAAAGGCAGCTTTAACATGTTGACGACCAGCCTATTTTTGCTTGTCCGCCACGTGGGACCACGCTCTTTTTTTTTTTTCAAAAAATGCATCCTGCCATCAGGATGCATGGTCCCAGAAAACATTTTTTTTGCCAAGTTTTTTAAAATGTTGAATTTTTTTAAATTTTTATCAGTAATTACGAAATCATAATCTTCTGGAACGTTTTGGCAGGACGCATTTTTTGACAAAAAAAATGCGCGTGGTCCCATGTGGCGGACAAGCAAAAATAGGCTGGTCATCAACGTGTTAATAATATACTACTGCTACATAACCCTGCTGCATAAAGGAGACAAGTACTTTTTGACAACACCCACTTTATTTAATTTTGCCTTTTATTGGCAAGACTTAACCCTTTCAAGGCTGAATTAAGAAAATGAATAACTAGGAAAATCTTTCACTGTTTTTTCTATTGAACAGGCCTAGCTAAAGACAGAGCTTGCAAAAATTTTGAAATATTTACTCATATATTCAAAAACAGAATTTTTTAACTACAAGAATCATCAACAGAAAATATTGAATAACAGGCCAATGTTCACACATGGAGAGCTCCTAAAACTTGGCCTTTGTCACAATTATATCCATTCATTCCTACAGCATGTGGGCATATTTTTCCCTTTTCCCAAAAAAAAAAAATTTTTTTCGGTCAAAATTCCATTTCACAAAAAAGCAAAAATATCAGGTCACAACTTTTCTTTTTGATCCAGCTTGCCTGAACTACAACCTATTTGAATGAATGATGCGTCACCAAAGAGCCCTTTTTGAGAGTTATTACGTGGAACCAAACAAAAAAAGTTTTGTTCAATGGCAACTGCAAGAGCAGCCTCAAAAGATTTGATCCTTATAATGATCATATGCCATGAAAGAGTTAAAAGCTGCACATTTGTGTTAAGGACATATTTTAAGAATTACTTGAAAAATATTCAACTAAAATGGCAAAGTAAGTGAAAAAACTGCATGCTTGTGAAAATGTTTGCCTTTTTCAAAACCCTCTTCAAATGAAGATGGGGAGTGAGTGGCTCTTGGAAGGTACAATAAAATATGCATTGTATTGAAGTGCAGTTTGAATTGAAGCTGAGATAGATTGCAAGTGCAATGAGTACTGACTAGGTCTCATCTGCACATGCAAGAATACAGTGTCCTCAGCCACTGCATCATTCTGAGCAGCCTTGATCTATGTGGTACCAGATGGAGGAGCATAACTGTTTGCAATGAATACAAACCATTTTGAAAGAAGTGTGCTAAATTTTTCCACTTTTGTTTACCAATACACAATACAAGATTCTCACTGTCTTTTTCAAGCGTTGTGTCTAAGGGACTTAACGTACTTAGCATTTTTAGTCAAATCACAAACTTCTTGAGTACATTTTGAGTTTTTAATGAAACAAAATATGAAGATCCATGCACAAGAATACATTTTTCATGTTTGCTCAATGTCACAAAACATCTACCCTTCTCAATATGCAGTCAATTAACCCCTTAAATGGACTTGCCGCATATGTGCGGTCTGGCACCTGCCATCTCTCATTGGACTCACCGCACATATGCGTTCGCGTGTTTCCTGGCTGGTTTACAATGGATTCGCCGTGTATTTGTGGTCAATTTTGCTGTGATGGGACTTGTTGAAATATCTGCCAATAGATGGCAGAAGCTTTTCTACTATGAGCATTAATTACTGGTATTATCAGTGGATTATTAGGATCCCCCCGTGAAGCACTGTTTTTTCCATCAATTGCAGGTTCCTCATTTGATCAAAAAAAATGACTGACATTATGAACAAGGGATTGTAATGTTTTAGTGGATATCTACATGGTCTTACAATACACAATAGGCCTGCTATGAAATTTTGAATGTCTATCTAACATAATTATGGTAAAATTCGTGAAAAGGGGAATACAAGACAAAGCAAGTTACTGGTGCAACAGATGGCCCTGAGACCCATACATATGCAGTTACTTGCATATCAATAATTTTATAATACACGAAAATACATAAATAATAAATAAATATTACAATATATATCACGTTTAATTATACATTATATATAATAATGCAATAACATTTGTCATTAATTCTATAATTATATAATGATTATATTATTTATTATAAAAATATGTAAATTATTTGAATTTTTTAGTGAAAAAATTCTACATGTAATGGACATCTTGGAAATTTTACTTCACTTTTCTATCTATTATAGTTAAAATTTTATGCTTAAAGTCATTAGGGTCTAGTAAGCAAAAAACCAGAGAAAAAAGGTCCCATCCCAGATCCATCTTTTGCAAACCAAAGTTCCCAGTTAAGGGGTTAAACTAGTGTTCCTACTTTGGGATGAACTATCATTATCTTTTTAAATTCTTGTGATTTCTGCACAAGGAATATCCAATTAGGGTCAGTGTTAAGTGAAATATTATTGAACTCAGGCAACAAAAAAAAAAACTATGTGGTGGAAAGTTCTCCATCTAGGTTTGCCAACTGTTCCTCAAATCAGACCAGGAATCCCCTTAAAATATGTTCATGAGGTCAAAAAGTAAAAAAGAATTGAGAAATCACACATTTAAAATAATGCTTGACACTTGGCAGCCCTGAGAAACAATCACTTTGTGCCAAACATAGTAATAATGGGCAGCAGATGAGACAGGAGGACAAACCTTTGGTGGCAAAATCAACAGCTTCTTCCTTGGACATCTTAGGTTTGTAGTAAGAGTCAATGAATCCATACACATATGTGCTACCTGAGCCTCCCATGGTCAGAGGTTGCCTTACCAACATACCACCCAATGGAATGGAATATACCTGTCAAAGAGAGAAACAAAGAAGACATAAGGCTCCACTAGTGTTACCAGGCTGCCTTCAGACTTGAGAAGACTTCCTTGACTTTTCTTAGTTTCCAGGTTCTTGTGAGAATTATTCCCTAAGAAAAAAATTTTAATTTTCATTCTCAATCTACACTTACCTTGTACCATTGCCCACTTCCTTTATAAATGACTGCTGTAGTAGTGACAGGTTTTCCTACTTTCCAGGAAATCAGGGCAACTTTTCAAACTTTCTCTGAGTTTTCTTACTACATTTCTATTTCCATAAATTTCCTAGGCTTTTGAAGGTTATGGGAACTCCACCCATGTCAATAGTGAATTAAATGTACCTGACCACCTTCCTGCTTGTCCCAGCCAGCACAAATGATCCCAGCAATGAGGGTATCTCGATAGTTGTAGCAGATTTCACGAAAGCAGTTTGCTGCTGTCTGCACCAATGGCATCTCTCCCATCTCCACCCTGAGGAGATTTTAGGGAGCAAAACAAAAAGTTTGAAACTTCAGAAAATTAGAAACCACACTGCAATAATCCCCACTGCTTAACAATAAATATGGAACCCAAAACCAAACACAAATGCAAACCTAATGAATCCTCTTTCAGGTGAATCCAAACCAAACATGAATCTATTACAAAATTCAACCAAAGGATGAGAACCTGCAAACAGGCAACTGAACAAATGAGAAAAAGAATTTTAGTACTGAACACAAACTGGAGATGTGTTTCACCGTCAACTGAGGAACACAAATAAAGGTAAACCCAAACTGAAGGCAAACCGCTTTAATGTTAGGGTTGATTAAAACTAATTGAACTCCCTCATGGTAAACAGCAATCAAATCCAAACCCAATTGTGAATAAACAGAAATGAGACTGAAATAAATTATCTTTACATATTTTTGAAGCTGAACTGAATGCAAACTCAACATAAGTGTTTCTAGTCAGCTCCCAAACTTGGCTATGCCCGTTTCACAGCCTCTAAAATTCAAATAACAAATAGTAGAAACTTTTGGAACCTGATCTCAATAGTAGTAAGTTTATCCCACCTCATCATTGATGGAAATATAATTGTGCTGTGTTTTTAATGTTAGTGAATGATAATGTTGGATCTTTGTAGTCAGAGAATCCTGACAAACCTGCACCAAATTATAAGGCCATGGAACTGTAAGCTATTCTGGGAATGGAAACAGGCAGAGTCAACAAGATATAGAGAATTTTAGTTCTCAAAAATAAATAAACACTTAAGTCCAATGTTAACAAATCACAGATAGATGTGGAGGAGATGAGTCCATAAAAGACTCACTAAGAGGGCTCAAAAATTGAAAAAAGGCATGACAAGAGTAGCAAACGTAATTGTGGCCTTTTCTTAACCTTCTACATACAGAAAGAATGTTTATGTGATATCCCACTATAAAGGAAATTTTGACATAATACAAATATTCACTTCATAGATATGGTCAAGCACCTAATTATGGCCACTCCCCCCTCCCATGGCCACTAGTTAGCCATCATTCTTTGCTACTGAAACTAGATAGATTCAAAAGTGCACTCTGGTTCACATATTGGTTTTTCATTTCTTACTTTTTCAAATTCACATCTTTAAGTAGCTCCTCTTTGAGGAAAAAATAATAAATATTGATTCCTACTGCAATATTCCCATCTTATGTAGCAGAAATTTAGGAATAACCTTTGCCCTCAAGGTTATGCTGACCAATCTGATTCATTGTAGCTATGGTCCCATACTGGGTCCATTTGGTCCACATATATTGAATTTATAACATTTACATGAGAAATAAATGTGATGTATTGCCTTTGCCTGATTCATTTTAAGGTGGTCGGTCATAGGAGGTGCTTTTACCAAAGTTAATACGATAAATTTTTCTTGCCAAGGAAAATATTTCTTTTTAAACTTTGGCTAGTCAATGCTATCCATCAATAACTTAAGTTGCTTTAAAAGCTGAATCTACTCATAAGACACTAAGGATTGAAATAAAACTGGATTATCAAACTGAGAATTCCCTTAAAATGGCCATAGGTGGGGACTTGACCCTACATCACAATGATGATTGAAGACACTGACAGTTGATGATTCAGAGTAAGTTTTCTAGTGACAATATTTATACACAGGATCTATGCCTTCTGTCCCACCTTAACTCTGCACTTGCTAACAGACATTCAAGTTGAGGTTAGTGAAAGGAAATGGCCACATGGATGTTAGAACCTCTCTACCATATCCCAGTGAGCTTACTCAGGTGAGAAAGAAGAAAAACACATGGGGCAGAATATTTCTAAGCACAGGGTCACCACAAGGAAGTCATGATTTTCATGAGTGTGCTCAACCCTTCTTCACTGAATAAAAGATAAAAAAAAGTGAAAACTCACTCATGAAATCCAAGTTGGTGTGCAACAACATCAGCAATTGCTTGTGTGTCAGCTGAAGACCCTGAGCGACAGCAATATATATAATCTGTCACCCGTGTTAATTTGTCTGAAACACGACTGCTTACGTAACTCCTAAAAAAGAGACAAATACACATATATACATATATACACATACACATACACACTGGCCTAACACAGATACAGGCTCAGCTATAGCATCATACTGTGTTTTTCACTGAAGTCAGACAATTTTTCACTTGGACACTCCCGCATGAGGAACATCCAAGGCACAAGTGCTTAAGTTAAGTAAAAAATTGTCTGACTAATGAGAAACACTAAGCTAGTTGGGCCTAGGCCTATTAGCCAAAGGGAACCACTATTTTTGGGCTACATGCAGAGATTCACACATGCAAGTGGCCCTACATGGAAAAGATTGTAATTTTTTTCAATATCACCCATTGCATTGAGGCAAAACTCACCCAGTGGAAGTACGAGAATCTGCAGCTATCACAACTCCATCTGCAAACTCCATTGCAAACAGTGTTGTCTACAAGAATCAAAGAAATTCAATAGAATCACTCCATGAGGCAATGCAGAAGTCTGAAACAGGCCTAATGCAACAGCAAGGGGTAGTTTGTTCACCTTGAGGACAAAAAGTTAAAATTTCCTATCCTAGGATTTCTCACTCTAAAGAATGTCTCATCTTGACTCCATGCTCCCAAATTGCATTCATACAGCAAGGCAATGATTTTAAAATCTTGAAGGTTCTAACATAAGGCTATATGGCTAACTTGTAACAAGAATAAGAAGGATGATTCACATCACTCCAGTTGTCTTCAATACTTCAATTTAATCTCTTTAAGGAATGCAAGAGAGTACCTGGCCATGCCATGATGAATTAAAAAAAAAAATCCTCTATACTTGTCTGATGCAAGTTACTCTTTTTTGTGGCAAACAGATCTTCACAATAGGCTTGTTTCTATTATTAAGTTCAAGATCTAGGTAGAGATAAACCAATATATTGATTGCCAAAATATAGACCAATATTTGCATATCACCTTTTTAACATCAGCTGATTTTTGCTGATACATCAAAGTTTTAAATGTCAATCTACATACATAAGGTGAACACATCCTATCCCTGGGATGATCCTATGGATCATCTCTGTGCTTGTCATTCACATTACAGGCTTTGTATTGGATTGGATTGGCTCAACTGTGAAAATGCCTGGAAGTTACTCTACATAAAGAAAATTATTTAATATAAGTGAAGCTCTGCTAATGCACACATCAAGATGGTTTTATTTTTGTTGCATTTGTGCAGATATATCAACCAATATTATATAAGCTATAAACAGCAAATAATACCATCAAATATTCTAATATCAGGCAATCTCTACATCTTACTATGAATTTGCAATTGTGTTCTTTCTTCCTTTTCCATAATTGTCTGTTCATGCAAGTAAACAGAATATGGATATCAACAGCACACAGTTGAACAATTATGGTGTTAAAATGGTCTCTCTCCTAAGAAACTGCAAGGCATGAAAGTCTACCACTACAATCTGTTTATTTCCTCAAAATAATTGCTTTTACACAGCAGTTTCCCCAGGATTAGAACCAAACCACCAGTGGTTAAGCAATTTAATCCTGAGCTGTAGCATCTTCAGATTAATGAAGCTCAGTTCCATGGATCCTTCTCTCATACATTTGAATAGGCAAAGTTTTATAGTGGGGTGAGGTAGTTTCATTAGGTATGTCACAAACTATGGATTAACTTCCACCTATGGTAATAATGATGGGTAGGGATCAACTTAACTTTTCCTATAACCCAAGGTCCCAATCCTGAAATTTCATCTCATGAAATTGAAATATGAGGGATGCAGTCCAGACTTGTGAAAGGTGTGACTAACATGACATTAAAGTGTCACTAATATAACCAGACAATTCATCATTTTAATCCTACAATTGCCCATAATCATGTAAAGGTATTATGACAAAGTATCTTTGAAAGTATATCAATTTATCCAGGTATTACATTTCTATTTTCAATCATGGCATGAAGTAGCCTAAAGGAAAAATGAAAGTAAAGCCAAAATAAGACAAGAAAAAAATATGTTGATTGAACTGCTCCTAAGGAAGCAGGCTTGGATGGATGGCAAGGGATGAAGGCATGTAAGTATCATAAATGGAAGGAAAGAGCCTCCATGGTGAGGCACAGGGAAACAAAAGGTGATGAGAAAAATGAAGAAGAGGAGAGGGAATCCTATAACTAATACACCTGGTGAGTTTACAGTAATGAATCTGAGCAAATCTGAGTGATAAATTCTAATCATGTAAAATTTGAAGGATTTAAAAAGGCCAGAAACCTCTGGAGTTCCTCTACCTATTGAAGATGTCAAACTTGGCATCAACGATGCAGATGATATCCATCAAATTCTCTCTATCATGAACAGCTACTAAATAAACCACTTCTATGTGTCATTCATAGAGATACAATCGCCAGTTATTTTAGTTACAGAAGCCAAGTTGAATCAGCATAGACTCATCATGTACCCATACTCTTTCACAAGAGTCCATCATGTCAGTCGAACAAGACTCTGTAAAGCTATTTGGCAACAGCCGTTCTGTAGTTGCAAAATTAAAAGCATCCACAAAGATCTTCATGCTATGGGAGTCAGTTTCTCAACTAAAGGCTATATTCACCACACATGCTAAGTTTCCCAGGCAGAGATTTAACTAAGCTTGTGCGTTGTAAAGTGAAAAATGATATAGTAGATGGAGCAAAAACAGTTACAAGGAAAGATTAAAAATGGCCCGAAAAAGTGAGCCGACATCTACGCATTGCATGCCCAATTGTTCTGTTCGTCACGATGGAATCCTCTGGAAATATTCTTAAGAGTTTTCACAGTGGAGCGAGACCTTACCCAAAGGGCAGGGAGTTCCTCTCCCCAGGTGTTGAATAAGAATAAATGCGAGATCTGAAACTCACGCCAGTGGAGACTTCCTCTTTCATCCATGACTCTTCGGCTGAATGGACGTTGGAGCCGGGAATGATGGCTCTCTGGGGCTCCATCTGCATCATCTCTGGCTTACCTCCTAATGGTTTAAAGGATCAACTGCGAAGTCTCTTGGATGAAGCTGCAAGACTTGAACTGCGACGTATTTAAGAAAAGTTACTGACGACAACGAGCCGTCACGAAGGATAGGAAAACGCCATGATTAGTACCCTCTGGACACCTGCGCTCATCTCGTGGATTCACAACAGTTGTCATATCGCTCACTAGATGGTGTTTGCGTTACTCTCTCTGGATGATATATAAATTGAATATCACAGGAAATAACGGATTCCTTGAATGTAAACTGAAATCATCTATTCCTCGTGGTAAATGCCCAAGATTGGTCACCGTAAGGTGAGCAGAAAAGTTCTATGCAGTTTTCAGGAAAATTAACTATGAAATTTCGATAAAAATGGAAGGTGGCTGCTAAGAGAGATAATTCTCTTCGAAATTCTTTCTCATCAACCACATTATTTCCCATTGAATTACCACCTGATCTAAAAATTACGACCAATCATCAAAGAAGCTCTCTGAAGTCAACTTTCTTTACCATTTCAGTCTTCGCGTCCGTTCCAATGGAAATTGCATTTTCATTGTTTCTATGATAGTTTCTTGGGATTCTCGTGACTTTGCGCCCCATATTACACTACAATGAACTCAATTAAGCATGGCTCAATTCCTCAAACCTTCTCTCACGTGTCAGTTCCGTAATCTTCACTTATGTAATTACATGTATAATATGTAATATATGGTATGACATAATTTATACAGTGTGTTCCATTTAAAACGCAACCCAACAAAAATCGCGAACTACGGTACAAAAATGAAGTCTTGTCTTGTCTTCGAGAAGGTGGTGGACATTTTCAGCATCTGCTGTGAAGCTGTTCTGTAAATTCCTGTAATATTCTTCCTAACAAATAAAAACTATCAAACAACTCGTTTGTCTTGTTTTATTGCTTTTGTACTTTGGGTTGCGTTTTAAATGGAACACCTTGTACAAAATATAAAAACGATATACGGTACATAAAAATTTTAAGTAGAATAGCAAAAGAGCTCAAAAATGCAAAAAATGTATGTTATTCCATAACTATTAAATATTTTATGTTTATCATAGTATGTTATTCCATAATTCTTGGTATAGTGGCCTTAATTCAGGTCTGAAAGGGTTAAAGTATTTTGCAATATACTGGACGACCCAATGCAAAAAGAGCTGAAAATTGTGTTTCTGCCATTTAGTAGGAAGCCCTTGTCAGTCATGGCTGCTTCTGTCGTCACTCGTGTCCCTTCATCTTATCAGGTCAATGTCCTGCTGATTCCAATCTCTTTTCTTCAAGGGCCTAATGCTCGAAAACCGGTTCTCCTGTGCTCTATTTTATTATTCATGTGCATTTGCTTTTCAAATTTATTATTTAATTTATCTTTAACTTTGAACTCCCTTTGAACTGTGGTGTCAATATATGCATTTCCCTCGCAAGAAACTTAATTGAAGAGCTTCGTGCAAGAGAAATGCTCTCTCCCTGTTTCAGGAACTGCCCAGCAAACTAGGCTACGTTGCACCAACGTTGTAACAACGTTTCAAACGTTTATTCAATGTTGATTCAACATTGAGTCAACGTTATGTGTTTAAAATTGTTTGCTGGGTGGCCTGGAACAGTATTCAGCAGGGGAGGAGAGGAGTAGGCCGTGACTTAGATTCCCGACCGATTTTAGAGCTTCCATCAATCCCCACTAGGTGTCTCTCGTGGAGGACTTCATTATAACGCATCTCTCTGTATATAACACCTTCATGTAGGGCAGTGATTCCCAACCGGTGTGCCGTGAGATTTGAGAGTTGACAACAAAAGAAAGCTAAAAACAGGAGGGAACGCCGTCTCTCAGTGGGAAATGAGCTGAGAGTTGCACTATCGACAACCCCGCTTCGTGTCGAATTGTTGTGTTTAACGAAGCAAACAAGTTTCCCGTTGAAAGCAAGTAAATGGTTGAGTGCGCCACGGAGAATTCAAGTGTCCTTATGTGTGCCACAAATAAGAAAAGGTTGGGAACCACTGATGTAGAGGACTGGGAACTGCCGGGAGAGGCGCCATTTTAAGTCCTTGCTCTGCTCCATACCAGTGACACGCAGTTAGTCATCGTCGCAGCAAAGAAGATGAATTAAGTACGGGAAAATCGGGGTTCAGTTTTACAGCTTGGTAAGGAGTAGGCAGACTGAAGTTCTTGCGCTCTCTTAGAGCCTAGAGTTCCACTGCCTTTCTAATACTGAGGAATTTTCTTTTTCCGTCTCACTGAGTTCATTGTGGAGATCGATGCTGCAGCAATCCCGGGGTCAAAAACTCCAATATGCAGTCACTGTTTCGCTTCGGGAAAAATTCCCCAGCCCTTGGGAATCCACGGTCGTCCCCAGGCATCGGTCTTGGCATAGGAATAGCAGAGTTCAATGAGGTCAATGAGATGACACGTCAACATCGATCAGATTTTTAGTTCTTGGCGTAGACCTTTCTTGTTTTCCAGCATAGCACAACTTTCGCCAGCGTTCACCTCAGATTGAAACGAAATCCCAATCCCAGTAGCTTAGTCTAAGTAGCTTAGGACTGGGAGTCGGACAGTTCACCCCACCTTTCCATGGAGAATCTGTACGACGCTTCAAGGGGGGGAGGGAATTTTAATCTAGGACTCATCTGTTGAAGCATGTCCAGGGACAGGTGAAGACAGGACTCGGGGTTGAAGGGGTCTCGATTGCGGCATTGAAATTTTCTAGGAATTCCAAATTGAGTCACCTGGCTACGGGACTGACTGCTGTTGGAATTTCCTTGGTAAATCTGTGTGTATGTGTTTTTTCGTCGTTTCTGGCATAAACTGAAGTCAGGCCTGCAGAATTTCGTACCGAGTTCTCTCGTTCTTATTCGTGGATGGGATCAGAGGGCGCCGACAATACGGTCAAGCTTTGCTCTGTGGGAGAAGATGCTCTTTTAGGTTTTCCTTTTGCGTTAAATGCGACAACTAATTTGTTTTTGTTTCCTCAGCAGGGAGAAGGATGAGCGGGCAACCAGATGCTTGTGAGGATGAGTCTGGGGTGAAGACAGAAATTGCCTCAAGACAACAAAGGAGATTTTGACTTCACTTTTGAAAGAAGCAGTGCAAGAGTTCAAAACACCGTCGTCGTACACCGTCATAGGTCAAATTGGGGGACAGGGGGGATAGTAAATATAGAGGGGGCGGAGAGGGCATTCTAACACATATAGATGTTAATACATCGTTGAAATCGAAGACACACAGACTGCGTCTCATGTTGACGCGACCCATAATATGCAGCAAAGCTGCTTATCGTCGGAGACATCGAAAAATTCCTCCACTCTCTGGAATTCTTAAGCCATGGTTGTAAACAATTAGATGCGCGGAGGACAAGGGCAGACACGTGCAGGTGGCTACCCGCGTTCCCCAAGACTCGCATTACCTCATCCCAACTGCCGAGGTCGTTCGGGAACACCAACACCCTTCGGCTCATTTTTGCACCACGGATTTGGGAAGTGCTACTGCTTTATGTTGTCCAACAGGAACGTCCCTGCTATTTTCCTTGAGCCCATTCCATCACAATAGTAAATAGCTTAAACTAGAATCTGAAGTGACCATCCGGATGGACTGAGAAAATAAGATTTTCCACCAGCCTCATCGATAAATAAATTCACCTTCCCAATGGTACTTTTTGTCAGTGACGTCATGAAACTGCTATCAATGGGTTAGGGAAGTCCATATCGGCAGGGAATCGTGGTCGAGAACAGGAGTCAAGTATTGTATCGATCGAATAAACGTGGTTGCGGCTTTTACAAAACGCATGCTGCTCTCTGCAGACCAGATGGCTGGCTAATTCCGAATTTGCGTTCGGATAGGGGTTGCAGCCCTCTCCAATTGAATGCAACCACTAATCACTTAGATGATCTGAAAATGTGTCAGTCTTCTCATCAAAAGAAAGAACAGGGTTTCAAAGGACATAATCATAAAAACTTCATTGCTAATTCCGGACTGAAAGACTCGTGGCATACAAGTTACGGAGATAAAGCGAAATTTCAAGTATAAAAGATAATCACAGGCGTCGAGATCAGATGCAACAAGGCAGACCAAAGGAATCCTCAGATTTCACCAGGGTCGCCAAACGTCCTCCTCTTCTCCCTTCTTCACTCTCAGGTCTAGCCCCATTGTCGCGGGCTGATTTTGACGTAGATGGTCCTGACATCTGTGTTGCCAAGCCGGCATCAAGAGTCCAGTCGACTGCGGTAGATGGGAGGGCTGAGGGCGAAGAGGTCCACGTGGGCCGGGAACGGGGACTGCGACCGAGAGAGGAGACGCTTTGTCGCGTCTCAGATGTCCAATGCAGCGGGTCAGGTGTCTCATCAACCTCTGCTCCACGTCTACTCCGATCCCATGACCAGGTGCAGCCTGGAAGAACCCTGCTACCTCCTGCACACATCGGGTAAACCCGGCCTGGAATCTCTTCACTTGGATCTCTGGATCCTCTGCCATCGTTTTCCTCTTTTCTGCCAGTTTCTTCAAGTGCTCCACTGTCAGTTCCAGGACGTCCGCCTTTTCCAGATGCTGTGGAGCACACGTGTTGGATACGGTGCCCATCATCAGCTCCTTCATCTCCTCAAGGCATCGGTTGATCCTTGCTCGTCTTTTCCTCTCCAACAGGGGTTTCATCACCTGCAGACAACCACATAATTTCACATTATTGCATCTCATTACATGTTAACGATAGCTATTAGTATACTGAACCATGCATGCTTCGATAGACCTGTCATAATAGGATGTCATGGGTTTTCTTTTTCGATATTAGAACATTATTCCCAATCAGAATCCTGACTTTAACGGTCCACTATGAACAATGACAGTGCAAATGTAACCAGCGAAGACTGGGTGCCCCCTCGATAAAGGACGTTTCGGTCCCTATTCTCTATCTAAGCTCAAGATCCACACGAATCTATCAGCTCCTTGTCGTTTCGATCACCCCCACCACTCTCCTTTGCATATAGGGACAGATGCGACATTTATATCTCAAGTGATTCCAAGAAGAGGATTATTAAGTCTTTTCTAGTCACTCTGGACTTCACACGCGGATATATGCGTATGCATACGATAGGTTATAGAGCTAAATAATGATCACTGACCTTCTTGTACTGGAGAGTCTTGGGCAGATGAGAAAGGTCGTGGGGGAGGGGAGGGCTGGCGGGGAGATAGGGGCTCATGATGATCGCACGGCGACGGAGCGAGCAACGAGAACAGGACGACGGCCAATCGTGAACTGAGGTGACTGCGTGAGAGCGACTGGGTGTGGAGGAATGTAGGGATGGCCGAGTCTGAGCGAACGGTAGAGTCCTGCACGCACGCCGTGGGCCGGGCCGCGGAGGGCCTTGGAAACCTTCCCCCCTCCCTTGGCCCCGGGCAGGACACGGGCTCACCAATATCACGAGCCAAACAGACCGTGCCGCGGGCATCTGGTCCGCGCAGGGCTAGTTGGCGGAGGGGGAGAGGAGAGAATGGGAGAGAGGGGGGGGGGGGAAGGGAGGCAAGCCGGGTGAAGGAAAGCACATGGCAAGCACGAGGCGACAGGTGGACTGGGGCAGTCGTGGGAAACTCCCCGTTCCCACACTTCATTCCACCTGCGTCTGGCTCATTCCCCCAATTAACCAACAGGCATTTCCTCCTTCCAATCTCAAGCTTGACCTTGTCAATGGACTCCACCTGTCGTCTTTCCCACTCTCCTCTGACTCATTCACACTCGAAATTACGGGCTTCAAATCATCACCTTTTTCTTCAGATTTCACCAATTTAGCCGTTTGTCCTGTCAAAGAAGTCGCATTAGGGCTGTTTCCGGATCCAATATGTATGGGAGGTTGAAAAAAAAGTTTTTTTATTCTGAGCAAAATTGCAGTCCAGATTCACCAACGTGTTGTTGCCACATAGGACTTATATCAGTATTTTTTTTTATTTATTTACTAGCGATGACAAGCGAATTACAAAAATTTATTTTGAACGTATTAATTTCAATCCGAAAATTCTTGAAGTCACATTCTCATTAACCGTAGTCTTGCAAAAAGAAAAAAGAAACCAGAATCATTCAATACATATATATTTCTTTACTTTCTACAAATATGATAGGAATATGATGCGGAAATATGACACAAAAGGGATCATTTGAACACCCAATGACTTAGGAATTATATTCATGATTTCGACAGTTGAAGACTTCATCCCATGAAAACTTTCAATTGCATGAGTTAAGACTCCACGGTTCATTTATCTTTAAATTTACCTTTAAGGGTAATTACGCTATCCTAGGATTGCCATTCACTTGAATTTATTGCCGTAAGGCGGCAGATAAATGATCGTCTCCGAGGATCCGTTCTGGCTTCCTGTCTGGTATCCTTGGGGAACAATGGTTTCAAATTGCAGAGGAGTGAAAATTCCTGAGGGTGGGGGAAATTCAGGTTGAACAGATGGAGAAGAGCAGGGCTTTTCTAACGGCGGCGGAGGGTATAGAGGAGATGGTTATCTCCGGCCCCGTTCGCTTATAAAGAAAGGGGGGTGGTGACCAGTGGAGGGAGGGAGGGTGGTGACCAGGGGGAGGGAGCAGCGTGGGAACGGGTCTCCTTCCCGCTTCCCAATACATTCCAAGGGAATTGAGGAATAGAACGCAAGCCATTCCATGCTTACACTCCCGGGGACGGAAGGTCGAGAATCGCCCGAGAGGGGTGCGCGAGACCTCATGTTCCGCACGTGCGTCACGCACGCCCGCACCTGCCGCCGGTTCCCACGATTCCTCGCCTCCATCGCATCTGCCTCTGCCACTTCTCTCATTTCTTCATTCCTTTCTTCTCACTCTCTTGTTTTCTTATCTCTCCCGTTCCACTTCATGATCCCTGGGTAATTGTTATCTCCCTCATTGACGGAACTGGTTCTTTTTATCATTGCGTCTGCTAATCACGCAACTACTCCATGCATGTCCGAATGCAGGTGCTCATTGATTTCACCTTCCGTATTCCTCCTTGAAGAAAACAAAGGAGCATCGTCAACAAAGGGAGTATATAAATAATTTCCCTTCTTTTGTTTACGCACTTGCAGCATCCTCATGACCTGTAGTGTCGATTGCATAATTAGGGAATGAGACTCCCCTTCACTGTTCTCAAATCGGCATTCCAACTTCTGCCGAAGCTAAGTGTCAATGCCCGTGATTTCCACAGCTTAAAAGAATTTGGGGGCGAAGTAACTTATAACAACTGCATCATATTAATCTCATGAATCCCCCGATGAAGACTGCGGATCATGTATATATTCTCCGTTTCAATGGATGTGATTAGTCGGTTAAGTGCATCCACGAACGTCTGCTCCAGACTTGGCGGATCTCGTGTAATCGGTTGAAGGAGAAATCTCCATCCATTTGTTCAAGGCCCTCGTCATCGCATTTGGCATGAAACCTTTTCTAGAGCGTATAATTACGATATGCATGCCTGGGGGAAGGGTGCCTTTGTTCCCTTCAATCCCCTTTCATTCCCCAAGGGGCAAGTGGATGACAAAAACACACTGGTTTTTCCTCTTCTGAGCCCCACCATAAAAACCCTCTTTATGACCCCCATGAGGCGTCCTCCCTCCCTCCCTCCCTTTCAAGATTTCTATGTCCCTTCGGTGGCTAGGGAAATGAACATGAAATACAAAGGCAACTGTAGGGAGTATGGCGCTTTCATTTCTCATGAAATATGGCACACACAGCACATATATGTATATCACAGGGGAGAAGCATGGTGAAAGACAGTTGTGGGTAGCGCGTTTGCGAAACGATATCAGACACGGCACGTGGAGTGATACGATGGCCAATGTTCATGTGAATAGGCACCAAGGTGGTGGAGCGATGAGAGGGTGTCGTCCATTTCCCGGAGTCTCTCGAGTGCCTCGTTGATGGCATTGTCCTCCATCTCTTGCTCCATTTCTTCCTCCATCATCGCTTCTTTTCTGTTCCCCTTCTTCTTCAACAGCGATAGTAAGCTCTGCAAAGAAAGCAAGAGATAAGGAAATCGCTCGAGAAAAAAACATACAACATATACATATATTTTTCGTTATCGATATTCAATCCACCTGTCAACTGACTTGATAAATGGATTGGAAATACAACAATCCGTCTATTGAATTGGTTGGTCTTGAATAACTTGTCATTCAAATGAGAATGACTTACTTATTGAAGGAAAGTACTCACCATGGCCCAAGATCGTTTCTTGTGCAGACTGGATCCCGATTCGTACCCCATGACGGAGGATTTGTGGGCAGTTACGTGGAGATAAACGGTATGGCTGAACGGTATAAACAGGAATGAGTTAGTGTGGGCGCTGGCTCGTGGATGACCGTGCGACTGCCTCGTGCTCGGGCAAAGGGCAATCAGTGTGCATTCCAACGAGATAGGGGCTGGGATTGGCTGATGACGGGAGTGGGGCGGGGCCACTGCGCAGCCGCCAGCCAGTCGCAAGTCGCGCTATCTCCACCATCTGTTGCTCCCTCAGCCCCTCTCCAATTTAAACGTTTTTTCTTGGGAGTCACGGGTGAAGGGGATTTTACAGTGGGCACCCAAGAATCTATTGAGAAATCGGAGTATAGGCCGAGCCCTATTCTCTTTTATTCTCTGACCCCGGCCTGTTTTCTGCGTGTTTCCGCGGATCTCTTCCCTCCTCCTTTGTATGTATACACTCCCCCTCGTCCAAGGGGCTAATCGTTTCCCCTCTATCCACAAAGAAGCGCCGTATAAATTGCTTCTTTTTCAGACTCCACTGATTGTCCGGCGCCTCTTCATTGGCTCATTGCTTTCTATGATGTGCTTGAAAGCCCTTGTATTGAGAACCTCGATGGTTCGCTTGAGCTTTCTAGGAGAATGAAAATAACATTTCCCTCTCTGGATAAACATGAGAATAAGCGCCCTAGGGAGGTGGAAGGGGAAACGTTAGTCTTAAACGACGGCAGGTAAATAATAATAGGGCTTAAGCACGTTCGTATCTTTTGTTCTCTATTTCAAGTAGGAATCTTGGGTGAAGAATGAAGACCAACGAAAACGAGACCAATATACATGTAAATTGTGGTGCTATTGTCTCTTGCTCACTTCTCCCTGCTGAGTGTGCGAACAGATAAAATCGCTCGCAGGGAAAGCCTTGTCGAAAAGAAAGCGCATGTGATGATAAGCAAGAAATTCCCAAGTAGGAGTTTCAAATAGTGAGCGGAGCAGGCGACAGCCGGATGATCTTGTCACCAGATAGCAGTTAAGGGCAATTTAGAGTAATGGCAGCGGATTCCTCTGGTTTTCAAGGGGCAAGGGGGTGAGGCACTGATAGACTGGGCTGGACAAAAAAAAAGGAACATGCTCCTGTCATCTTGGCATCTGGAGAAACCGACCTGAAAACCAAGAAGGCAGGAGATAGCGGGGAAGACGTCGTCAAGGATGACGATCGACAAAATGGTTCGTAATTTTCGCCTAAGGTGACGAGAGCCAAGAAAGGAAAACAGATGCTGGAGGCGGTGACGAGACAACGACCCTACTGAGATCGTCTGACAGCGGCTAGGGCAGGGGTGTCAAACTCGATTAAGCTGCGGGCCGGATGGAAGCCTTCGGGGGTGGTTGGGGGGCCACATTAATGAATCTTACACGAAATTTTCAATCCGAACTGCTTGAAATCTCACCGCTCCAAAAAGCAACAAGTGAAATGGACTTCGCGGGCCGGAAAAAATGAACTAACGGACCGTATCCGGCCTGCGGGCCACCAGTTTTACACCCATGGGCTAGGGTGACAAGAACGTGCCATTCTCACGCTTCGACTCGACTCGGCAACGAGAAAATTACGAAACTCTAGAACTTCCCAGGGGCGTGAAAAAAAAAATGAATTCAATTTTCATTGAAATTTCACTCGGCTCCCGCTAGACGTCTCTCCGGCAGAAATGGAAACCTCGTGGGAAACAGACGGATGAGAGTTCATCCGTCTCCCTTTCGACTCCGTGTTACTTTCTCTCACTGGAATTCCCAGGCCGAGAACGTGGCGAGGATGAGGATGAGTCGAGATGGCAGCCCCGCAGCCCATTCCTCGCTTCCCCGAGTGGCGTGATGACGAATGGAGAATCGATTAAATTCAATTTTCGGTACGTGGGAAAACGACTTGGATGCGACGAGGGAAACTCGGCTGGAACCAGGCTGGAACTGGTTTCTTCTCATTTCTCTCTCTCTCTCTCTCTCTCTCTTGTCAATGATAGCTTCGTGACCATGAGATTGTAAGGGGGGGGGGGCCGTCGAACTCGCGTGCAAGGAAAACCGTTTTTGACGAACTGCATGTTTTATTTTTGGCGAATTTTGAATGGGTAAGAATATGGGGTTCTGGGACAGAAGGTCGAAAATTTGTTGCCGAATGGCAAGAATGTCGACGTCATAAAATGTCGAAGGGTAGAATGGAAGAGAGTAGGGAATATCGAATCCCGACATGGTGGAACGGAGAAAATGTCCAAAGTACCAGAAAGGAAAAAAAAAAATTAAAAAAAGGGGGAAAGTGCTTGTCTACGGCTAAGCCCATCATTTATCCAGAGTTAGCCTTTGTTTCTTGTTTAGTTCGTGCCTTCGTCACTCGGCGATGAATTGTTTTTGGAGGAACTGCTCGAGATCGTGCCCGCAGGAACAGAAACCATTTCCGCTCGGACGTTCGTAGAATGGGAACGCCCCAGAGGCAGAACCACGAAAGGAATCAACGTTCCCTCCGAGCTCGCGAAATGCTCGGAACGGAGCGCTCGGAAACGACCTTCCCACCGGTCGCCACGTCGAGGGACGACACGAGTCAGGGAACGGTTCGATCGGCCGACACCGTCCGACCGTTTTCCATTTCCTGGGGCCCGTTCCTTACTCTCTTTTTTGAGAAAAATCGCTCTCCTTTTTCTAAGAGTGCAGGTGAGATTCGAGACGAAAGCAGAGAAATCCCGTCTCTTCGTGCACGACCACGATCAAGGCGGGGGGGGGGAAGGAAATAAACCGGCGGAAATTTCCGTCTCCCCGACAGAGTTGGTCGACGATCGACTTCAAATTGTAATCTCTCTCGCCGATTAACCGAATTAAGGAATCGAAATGGAAAACCTTCGGCCAGAAGGTGGAATAAAGGCAGAAGGTGGAACGAAGGCGTGGGATCCTCTTCCCCAAACGGAAGAGAGGACACTCCTGCATTTTATCGACGCTTCCGTCGCATTAGTCATCTGCAGAAAAGATCGTTTGGATCCATGAACCCTTTCGTGCATGGTGTCCACCGTAGCGGACGGCAAACATTTTTGGCGACGATTTAAGTTTTCAGCCTCGGTACACATACCACGAGCGTTAAACCGAAAAGGCATATTTGTGTTTTGCTTTAAAAATTGATGCACGAAAGGGTTAAGCCGATGGGATGAAAAGCCGAGAGTCGGATGCGAAACGACTCATTCGCCACTCGAGTTTCCCGCTTCGAATGGGAATCCGTCGCTTTTTCGCGTCCTGCCTTGCGGTATCGTTTTCGCGGGATCCCAGAGACTTCCGATCACCCGTGAGTCACTTTAAATTTGAATTCCGTCCGACCGTAAAAATCTGTGGAATGAGAGTGATTCGGAGAGGGACCGGTCAGGAATGCAAAGGAGTCTCGAGACGTGCGAGTTCGTCTCGTAGACGATTCGCTTCACTTTGCAGCCGGGAAACAAACAAAAAAAAATGCTCACGGTTCAGAAATTGATCGACGAGAAGAGAAAATGTAGGTTCCCGTGCATTAAAACTCTACTCTTCCGTTCGCTTTCGCGTGACAGGTCTCAATCCTGCAAGTCTCAACTCGTTGGAGCAAACAATTTGCATAGGGTCGGACTGACGACCCCGCCCTCCCTCGCCCTCCCCCGCCCTCTCCCGCCTTCCCTCGCCCTCCCCCGCCCTCTCCCGCCCTCCCCCGCCCTCTCCCGCCCTCCCCCGCCCTCTCCCGCCCTCCCCGAAATTGTTGACAGAGGGTCCTCGCACCTTCACTCCTCTCTTCCCAAGAATATGCATGAGAAAATTTGAGGGATGGATTAAAAAGACGCAGCGTTCAATTCAATGTTCTTATAATTCCAACTCATTTAGTTGGAATTAATGTTCACGACGATTCCACGACCGATTCTTTACGAAGTCCGGGGGGAAAGATGCCGGTCCGACCCTCGATCCGCTCGGTTCGTTCGGTTCGTTCGGTCTGGTCTCGACACCGGTTGCAGACGGGCGCATTTTTCTCGAATCGATCGTCGAGCCGTCGTCGGGCTTTCGACGTCGCGAGGAACGGCGACGATCGCAAATCGAGACGGGGAAACGGCAGAACGTTCCGGGATTTGCAGGGAACGGCTCGCACACGCCTTCGCCGACGGGCTTCACGCTCCACGCTCCACGCGAGGACGACGAGGTCGTGCGTGCTTCACCCGACGATCTCTGCCGAGTTTCCGCCGAGAAGGTCGCGCGTTCCCGACTCGACTCGAGACGATGCGACGAGCGGAAACCGGGAACGTCTTCGAGAGAAACCGGGAACGTTCCTCTCGAGAACCCCGAGACCGGCGGTTCCAGAACTTCTTTTCGCTCGCATCGACGTCCGAGCGTTTCGCCGTCGCCCAGGACGAGATCGAGCGAGCGAGCGAGCGAGGTGCTTTCGGGATCGGAGAGGTCTCGTCGTGGACCGTGCCGAGGCGAAAGGACCACTCTTTTTGCTCGAACGAGCGTGATTCGCGGGAAGAAATCCGCTCGGGCGACCGGAATCCGCAGGGAACTCCATCCGACGCCATGGCCACGACGACGCCCTTCGTGCACCTCGTGTACCTCCCTCGTCCCGATTTGTTAGTTCCTCGGTCCTTGGGACTCGAAGGTAACTGAAAGGGATCGCTTCTCCGTGCTATGTGGAGTGTGAACGTTCCACCTTTCAATTGCCGAGCGCAAGAGAGGAGAAATCGCAGGGTAACAGCCCTTCCCCCCCCCCCCCTACTTGGCCGCCGCCCGACTTTCTTCGTGGGAGAGAAAGGTTGAAAGGTTCGCTTTCTTAAGCCATCCATTTATGGGAAAATTTTCGTGAGAGGACTCACGTGGAAAGAAGGGCTCGCTTCCGACCTCTACCCCCGCAAAGTCGAGCTGGGCAGGGGGAGGGGGGGAGGGGGGAAGGGGGTAAAGAGGGGGAGGGGGGAGGGGGGGAAAGAGGGGGAGGGGGAAGTTGCGATGCGAGACGAGAGAAAAGGGGAGACTTTGCTAATCCTCTCCTAATGTGGTGGGGGGTGGAAACATTCCGTTCTTTGCTTTCTCTCGCTAAAAGGAAACTCGATGCGTCTGGTGTCTAAGAAGATCGGGGGAGTTTCTCCCCGCCGCATCTTCCCTTCTCCCCGCCTTTTTTTCCCGCACGGAGTCGTCCACCGAGGCTCGGCCCCACGCGTCGCCGACGTTTTCGACGACCGTCGGGAGAGGAACGAAGTCGTTTCGACGGAACGGGATCCTTCGGACGCGTCGCGACGGATCCCGCGAGGCGGTACGTCGCGAGTCGTCGTCTTCCTCGTCGACCGCGGACCACCCCGTGCGAGGTTCCTCGAAGGGTTTCGACTCCGACCGTTTTTTGCCGCGAGAATCGCATCGGTGCCCGAGAAACGCGGTCGAAACGACCCGAGGCTTCTCGCCGTGCGGCGATCCGCTCGATCCACTTGGAACGAGCGTCCTTGCTGCGAACGAGCGAGAGCCGAGACGAATTCCAAAGTCGGGGAATGGGGCTCCCTCGCGATTCCCCGTCGACTGCGTCCCGAATCCCTTCCATCGGATGAGAATCGGGACGATCTTCGGGCCGATCGAAGACGACGAAGCCGTACGCGTGCACCCATCCGCCTTGTGAACGGCACGGTACGTGGTCCGGTACGTGGCCCGGTACGTGGCCGGCCGAGGAGGAGGAATCGCCTTTAAAGGTCATCCTCTTTCCACGTCCTCGAAAAGCGATCCGGAGACACCTGCCCTGTCCGATGGCCTGTCGGATGGCCCGTCGGATGGCCCGTCGGACGGCCCGTCGAGTCTTGTTCCGAGAGGGATAAATCATCACTACATCTCTCTTCCTCGCTTATCAATTTTCCCAGTCGACGTTTTTAGGTGATATACAGCGCAGATCGTGAATGGAGGCAGGGCGGGCTCGGGCCTTCCTCGCCTCCACGGAGGCAGGGCAGGCCCTGCGACCTCCTCTGCCTCCGTTCACGGGTCTCTCACTGCCGTGTGACGCGAGCCGAATACGTTTCTCGTCTCGCGAACGAATGTCGGAAACGTCTCGGACGGTTCATCTCTCGGACCATCTTCTATTCTAAACCTTCTGCTTTCGATATGCATATGCTTTAGATAAGTGCGAGAGAGAATCCGTGCGAAAAGCAGATCGCGCCTCGAAGATGATATCTTCCTCGGATTTTGAACGTGAACTGCATGGAGATTCGTGCTTTCGATCTCGCGATTTCTTTTTCTCGCGTGGGAAAAGTCTGATCCGAATCGGAATCGCTCGGCAGGGACGGCACAAATTTTGGCGCGGAACGTTCGATGCACTCGGTGCATCGAATCTCGATGCCGAAACGGGTCTTGAGGATGACGCAATCGCGCGATGCCGGATTCAAAATATTTCACGATTAAAATCACGACGGGCGATCGAGAAAGTCGTGAAGTTTTCGTTTCGTCGCGAATCCGACGCGATTTCCACTCTTTTCTTAACGGTGGCTTTTTGGCTCGTTCGGCCTCGTCTTCGCACCGATTCGTTTTCTCGAGGCGGGACGGTGTCGGCCCTGGAAAAAAGAGACGAACGTCGGCGGCCTCCATCCTGGAGCCCGGTCGGATATTAAACAAAATAAAACTACCATAACGAGCATGCGATTTTGTGGAAGCGCCGAAGAAATCACCGGCGACGACGAGAAGAGGCGGAATCGAGCCGGAGGGAGGCGAAAGAAAGAAAAAGAAAAAGGAAGAGGCGGGCGGGAGCCGAAGAAGAAGGAAGAGAGAAGACGGAAGAAGCAGGAAGAAAAAGAGAAGTCTGCATTACATGGCCCGAGGGGGGAAGTTCCTCGGTGAGAACTTTCCCGTTCCCACGCTCCTTGGGGACGGGGAGCCAGTGTTGCCGGATCCTCGTCCCTGCTTCCAGCCCGTTCCCCCGTGGGGCCCACTCGCAGTCCCTTGGCTCCGGCCGACAGGTGCAACATGGACGAGCAACCCGTCTCCAGGACCTACCAGTACCGGAAGGTGAGTACTCCTCCGTCGCCCGATTCGCGTTTCGCGTACCCTCTCGCGATCTTCGCGATGGCGTTTTCGCCTCGGTCGATCTCGAACGATCCGTTTCTCTCGCACGCACTTCAAATATATGGAGTCCCGATGATCTTGGATGCTGCAACGTGCGTGTCGAGTATCGTACTCGGACCGAAGCATCCATGAGGTTTTTTTTTATTATTTGGTTATTGGAATTCAGGTTTCCTTCAATTCATTTTACCTTTCATTTTCTGTTTTACTTTTAATTTCTGTTCCAGTTTTTCTCTTTTTTTGTCATTTTGAAAATTTTCCCGCTTGCATCAAGCGACCTGACTTCAGGATGGAATTATTCTGTGAGATTCAGATTAATCCAATCGAACTTATTCCCACGATGATTTCGATCGTGGGAACGTGCATGCCATCCGTTTCCATTTTGCTCCACTGCATTATCCCTCATCATAGACACTCGACGATTGCGTGCAATTTCCCCATCGATATGAATCGCGTCGATCTCGCACGAAACTCTTGGCGCGATTCGCTTCTGCGTTGCCCTCGTTCGCGTTCGTAACGACATCCTTTGGACGCGACAGGTGATGAAGCCGCTGTTGGAAAGGAAGCGGCGAGCCCGGATCAATCGGTGCCTGGAGGAGCTGAAGGAACTGATGGTGGGTCCGGGATCCGGCAACCCGAGCGATGCCGCCGACCCGGCCCACAAGCTGGAAAAGGCCGACGTCCTCGAGATGACTCTGAACCACCTGAAACGGGTGAGATCGTTGGAACCGTCGTGGCCCGCGTCCTCGATGGAAGACCTGGAACGGTTCCGTGCCGGATTCACCCAGTGCGCGACGGAAGTGTCCGGATTCCTCCGAGGCGGAAAGGTGAAGACGGAGATCTCCTGTCGGCTCCTGGGTCACCTCAGTCAGTGCATGAGGACGATGGAGGCCGACAACTTCCAGAACCTCTTCCCTCCGCCCCCTCTCTGCCCCTCCGCCTGGAACTACCGCGGGCCGCCCCCTCCGCCCGGTCCGCCCCC